GTATTCATAAGGAAAAAATATGTCTATCATAAAAATAATTTCCTTTGAGCCTCTGAACTCATAAACCTTGAAGTTCTGACATCATTGACCACTGAATACACAGAATTTTAAAAGCATGAAAGTAGCTGCTCACCTCTTTTCTCTGAAGTCAATAACTTGTTCTAGCTTTGACCTATAGCAAAATTCAAAAAAATAAATCAGATCAGAAAAGTACCACATCAATTAAAAATTAAAATCGAAGCACAATGTTGGTTCTATTATAATTATTTATGTATCATACAGGAATCCCAACATTTCTAGTCCTTGCCACAAACTCACAGTTGCTTAACTTTTTGTCACATTTGTCATTTCATTATTCACTTGTTTCCTCCCTAAATTATTTATTCTAAAAATAGCTAATACTCTCTGAGAAGTTATTCAATAAGTGACAAAGCAGTTGTTTCTTAAATAAGAAATTCTAAATTTGTATTCAAATATTTTATGAAAATATCCTACGATATAGGAAGGAAGGAAGAAAGGAAAGGAGGAAGGAAGGAAAGATGGAAGAAAGGAAGGATAGGAGGAAGGAAGGAAAGACAGAAGGAAGGAAGGAAGAATGGTGGTGGGTACATGATAGTGGTATTATAGGATCATCAAAGAGCTAGTTCTGAAAGTGTTATTTGTCCTTTTAGAGAGTCATTCAGCTGGAACTTAATGTCCTCAGATATTTGTGCTTATCATCAATCCAGACCAATCTACTACCAATAAATAAGCATTCCTCATACCATACTAATACTCCTATTGGTTTATCCTCAGCATGCAGAGTATTTCTATAAATAATCCAATAAGTGAGACAGCACTTGTCTCTTTAATAGGAAATTCTAAACCTATATTCAACCAGTAAAGATTTTATGAAAATACCCTGAGATGTAAAAAAAAAAAAAATTATAAGAAAATAGGTGGACATTTGACTTGACTTTTGGGTAGATAACTATAATGGCAACTCTAGAAGTTTCTCAGGACCCTTTTGTCTAGACTAATACATGAATTTATACTGCAGTGGGACAGTTATCAATACTGATATATTTACTTAATATATTAGAAACAAAGAATCACAAGTTAACTATGAACTTGGGTTATATCATTTAGAAGATTATTAAAGCATGTTACAATATACCTGATAGCAGTACAAAATGATACTTCTTTCATCTGATTGGTTTAAATCAATCCAGGGAAGTTTATGTTCATACTAGGATCAAAGGATCATTACCCCACACCATTGTTTTATCTGACTAGGAGCAACTTTATTTCAACACAATCTACATTCAGGCCAAACAATACTGTTTCATGAATTGTTGCCTTTATTAACCTGAAAATGCTCTCAAATATCTGAATTTTTTATGAAACTCTATCCTCATTACTATTGTATAAAATATATGTCCTTCCAGAAGCTGTGTAAAATATTCAAAAAATAGAAGTAAATATATAGAGATACTACATATAAAATATTAACTACTACATCCATCAAAGGAATAATTATAAATAATTGTTATTTGTTAGACAAAAATTCAAATTATATTTAAAAAGTTGTTACAAATCAAAATCTATCAAGAGAGAAAAGTATATTAAGAGCCAAGATAACTTATGACATGAGTTATGCAGAAAGAATGTAGAACTCTTTCTTAAATACCCTGAGCATTTAGTATAGACACAAAATTGGCCATCCCTTTAGTGTAGGACTATGCTAATTCTAGACTAAAAAATAATGTAGATGTGTCCAACAAAACATGACATTGGGCTCTTTCATCTTTCCATGTCACCATTATGGAATGCTTTGATGTCTTGGCTGATACCGATAATACTCCCAAAAGAGGAAAACACCAGTTTCTTATTAGGCTGTGCTACAAAGTTATTGCCTGGTTTCTAATTGGGATGATGAAGCATGGTTACATTAGTGAATTTGAAATCATTGATGCTCACAGAGATGGGGAAATTGTTGTGAACATCACAGATAGATTAAACAAGTATGGAGTAATTGGTCATAGATTTTATGTGCAACTAAATGATCTAGAAAATGGCAAAAGAATCTGTTCTCATCCCATCAGTTTGGTTTCTTTGTACTAATGACCTCAGCTGGCATAATGGGCCACAAAGATGTAGGAGGGAAAATCCTGGGTTTCTTTTTGTAGGAATGTAATTCAAATAAAATTCCTCAATGGAAAAAAGCAAGATTTTTGAAAAGTCAAAAATAATGGGGGGGGGGGTATAGTAATAATTCTAGCAAAATGTCTGCTCCAAATATTACCAAATAGTTTTTACAATGCTATGGTCTATATGTAAGGTATCCTCCAAAAGTACATGTATGAAACAATGCAGGAAAGTTTAGAGGTGAAATGACTGGGTTATGAGAATCTTAACACAGTGAATTAATCCTGTGACAGGGAATAACTGGTTAATAACTGTAGGTAGATAAGCTGTGGCTAGAGGAGGTGGGTCCCTGGGGGTGTGCCTTTGAGGTATATATATTTTGTTCTTGTTGAATGGAGCTCTTTCTCTGCTTCCTGGTACCATGTTCCCAGCTGCTTTCCTCTGCCACACACTTCTGCAATGATGTTCTGCTTTATCTCAGGCCCTGAGGAAGGTAGTCAGTCATCTATGGACTGAGACCTCTGAACCTTGAGCCCTTACATAGTCTTTTCCTCCTTTAAATGTTCTTGTTAGGTTTTTTTGGTCACAGCTGCAAAACAGCTGACTAAAACACACAGGTACAAAACTTTTTGCAAAGGTACATCTCAACATTACTTAAAGACAGAACGTACAAGAACTTAAAAGTAACTGAGTAAAAAGAAATAAAGCAACAGACCCAAATGCCATGTCCACAGACCCAATAGAAGTTGAAGAGCACTTTGAGGGACCTGCAGGATAGTGCAGTGACTCTAGAAATTAGTCTTCTCCACATATAAGCCATGGAAACCCTAGAAAGACTTGGACAGACTGAATCTCTGACTACTGGAAGGAAACTTTAAGTTATACCAGATGTAAACAGCCAGATGGCCCAGTGCAAGATTTAAAGAATCAGACTTAATTTAAAGAGGTAAGCATGATTTTAAAGGATACAATTTAGAGTCAGTCTTCTAAATGTATACTTCCAGGGGAGGAAAAATGCAAGGGGGAAATTATTCCCTTTGAGTATCATTTGGTAAAGGGGAAAAAATAAAAAGGGAGAAATTTTATATCCTGTGAAACAAAACAAAAATACCCACAAAATCAGGAACCATAACCCCTTCCCCCTCTTCAAATAAATTAACTAAGCCCACTACAAAGACAAGGGCCACCTGGTTTATGCCATCAACGTCCTCAAGAAAATATAAGGTCTTATCATTGAAACAAACCATTGAAACAAACCATCATCATACATTCATTCACTTTTTCTGAGAATACCTACTATAATGGTATTGTTAAAAATGATTGAAGTTGACAGGAAACAAGACAGGTACTTGGATGTGTCAGCTGTACTGGTGTCAACAAGCCAAAAATGGTCTTCATTACCTAAGGAAAGAAGAGCAAGATCAAGAGGAAAATATGTATGGCTCATGCATGCTATTTCTTAATGGAGATATTTGCTTTATACTGAAAAAGTATCCACTATAGATGCTATAGAATAAAGGCTAAATATAAAATTGCTTGAATTTGAAGAACCTATAAAGTTGTTTAAGGCAGAAACAAGAACTTTAATTGATCAACCTTATTTACATATGAATGGAAGCTATATTAATAGTTATTGATTTTATCTATTGCTTGTAATTTATCATATAATGATCTTAGTGGAGCCACATAACACTCAGTTAAAAATATAGCTGACTACTCATAACTGCATTTCATTTTGTGAATAAATTGAAATATATATTAGAATTCAAACATATAGCCATAATGTCATTGTCTTTATGTTCTGAGTCATTAATGAACCAGAAACATTTTCATCCTGACATACATTTGGGGTTAATACATTAACATCTGTATTTAGATAAAATGAATATTAGACCTTTGAATTGTACTTATAATCATAAAACTTGTCAACTTTCTATCAGTGCAATTTCAGTGAAAAAATAATTTTTTTTCTCAAGAATACTATCAAGCCTGTAAGTTACTCATTGAGAAGAATAACCTATAATGGCAATTGTCTTGCCTCAACAAATGGCCATGATTATCCCAAGGGTCTTATTAACATTTGACTTTACTCATAGCACATACACACTTTCATTATAATGAAAATACAGGAACTTGGGAGATAAAAATTAGGAACCAATGTGTTCATCAGTTTATCCAATTTCAATTTTTTTGAAGAAACATTAATGAAACTCATTTTCTTACCCTAGTTGCAAGGGTCTTCAGTGACAGGCAATCCATCAGTGATCAAAAAATATCCCAACGCTGTTAAAATTCAGTACTAATATTTTTTCTATTAGTGTATTGAGACCCCAAATAACTATAACACACTGAGCATAATTCCAACATATGATATTTCCCAGCCTTCAATAAAAGCAATTATAGATAAATGTAAGAATTTTCTCATGTTTCAATCATTGTGAAGATGATATACCCTATAAACCTTGATATATATATACCCTATAATGATATTATATACCCTATAATGATATACTGTCTAAATGAATAAATAATTATTATAGAGGTGAGTCTTCACTAATCCAATGGTCTAATTTGGAATTTTTTAGCCAGCAAAGGTAGCCTTTCACCTCTGCTCAGTAGAATAGTGCCAGCAGGAGTCACTGAAACATGAGATGAGAGAGAAAAAAGCCAATATCTTAGTGCCAAATATTCAAGAAAAATTGGAATTAAAGAAAACTTGATCATAATTTGACTTAGAAGCATTTAGAAAAAAAATGTATTTAGAATGAAAACGAGTTTCACAGGAGACTTCATCATTAGAAACCCAAAATAAAATTCTCATGAAAAGAAACCAAAAAATCCAAAAGTCTTATCTCACAATTCTCACCTAAACTGTGCCTCAGCATAATCCAACTGAGCCTGACTTTTGAGCCATCACTTTTGTTCAAGATAACATATCATCATTGAACTAAGTCATGGCACTCATATATTTAGGTGTAATATACTTACCAGAAATGGATCTTTAAACACTGGTACTATAGTCAACCAGATGCCACATACTTACTGTCAGACACTTTGGTGGTACAAATTGCCCCATGAGCACAACAGTGTAAAAAATTCCTTCCTTAGTAGTCTTTTTCTAGGAGATAGGAATAAGAACATAGTCAAAGGGAAGCATTACATCTCTTATGTATATATGGCACCCGACAGCTATTTCTAATTTTATAAGACTGATATGTTTGATACTCCAAATATGAACTACTATAAAGCTACAGAACATTGATTGACCACTTACAGTAAGGACAAAGCAAATAGGTTTCATGTATTTTGATCTTAGGTTTTCATGTCAAGGAATGATTTACCTACAGATGAAATATTACTCTCATCACTTGGTTACATATGCAAGTACCTATATTAGTAATTATATTAGTAATACCAGCATCATATATAACATATGTATACCTTTTATTGAATATAGTGAAACCACATAAGACTCAGAATGTGAAAATAGGACTTAAGACTAATCATTGCTTTCAATTTCAGTGGGTTTTGCATCCATAATTAAAATACCCATGGACTGTGTACTATGTAGTTAGGCCAACGATGGTTGCATCTGTATTGAAAATGTACCAACTCTTTTGTTGTATTGTTATCATTCCCTAAGCAATATAGTATAATAACTATTTACATATAAGAACTAAATTGTTATATAAGCATTTATATTGTATTAAGTACTATAAATGATTCAGAGATGATTTAAAATCTACAGGAGGGTTGCATTATATGCAGATAGTATACCATTTTATATAAGGAGCTTGAGCATCCACAGATTCTGGTGTCTGCATGGGATCCTGGAATCAATTTCCTGTAGTTATGGAGGAATGACTGTGCCTCAGTCTCAAACAATTCTCTGAAATTGCAAAGTCTTTCAGTTGTGAATAGTGCTCAATGATCCAAAAACATTATAACACCATAGTAATCCACAGAATAGAATAAGAGAAACGGATTGTTAATTTGTGCATATAGAATCACTGAAGAGATAATTGCAATGAATTACAAAACATCCTATCTTCAAATCAAAATCAAAGCATGTTTTGTTTAGGTGAAAAGAGTTTAATGAGTGTTCATCAGTCACTCATTGGGAAGAACAGGTTATCACTCATTCATTTTACATAAATGAATGCATGGAATGTCTTCTTTTCTTTATTTCATTCCTTCCTCCCTCCCCCCACCCTCTTTCTTTTTTTGAGATGGGGTCTTGTTATTCTGCCCAGAGTTCAAGTGATTCTCCTGCCTCAGTCTCCTGAGTAGCTAGGACTACAAGACTTGTGCCACGAGGCCTGGCTATAATCATTTCAAAGGCCAGACTTCAAGAGTCAAATAGTCTACCTGATAATCTTTAATCACTATGGAAGAATTCATATCTAATGCATGTAATGGCATTTCTTTTCTGGTTGAACATTCTGAAGCACACAAGGAGGAAAAATAAGCTAAAACATCCAATTTATGAGTAATAAAAATAAAGATATGAAGATCAGAATAAAGGAATATGAATATTCTCTATGAAACAAAGAGAGGCAGGTAAAACAAGATACCCTTCAAAGTTTCTTCATTCTTATCCCGAAATGAATACCCCTCTCCAAATCTAATTACTTCTTACACCTTGTTGCCAGGATTTTTGCCTATTTTGAGCCTTAGCATAGTCCCATTGAGCATGATTTTTACATCATCATGTCTCCTTAAGATATTCTCCACACATATATCCACTTTGCTTTGTAAACACCTACCAGAATGGCATCCTGAAACCATGGTTCAAAGGGACAGGAGACTCATTAGATTCACTGCAGCATACCTCAGTGGCAGGAGTTGACAAAGCAGATTCTTACTCAGTAGTCCTTATCTAGGAGGACAAGAATGGGTAAACAGCAATAGGACTGAAAATTTCAGTGAGAAGTGAAGATACCATCAAGTGCACCAATTAGGCATTGAGGAGAACCAATAATGAACTCATGAATTGGAGATCTGGTCAGCATCATTTTCATATTAGAAACAACTGTCATCATTTTAAACATGTACCTTCATTATTCTGAAAATAATAATGTCTCATGATACTCAGGAGCTGAAAATTTGGCATTGTTTTGGTCATCAAATTATTAAATTTTAGTTTCATAGGAAACTAAAATTCCAAGGAATTTTTCTTTCAAGACTCTTGAACCTGCAATAGATATGGTCTTACAAATTACTGAGATGCTGTCAAGGCATCTTCCTATTATCTCTGTGTAAAGTAATTAGCAAATCTTTATTGGCTGTGATCACTTTAACAACCACATCTTCCTTGGCCTCAGTTTTATACAAACAAACTAAACTAAAGTTTTTACAATCTTGCATTTCTATGTTCTGCCCTGGAAACTCACAGTAAACCTGGTTAAAATGTTGTCAGTAACATAAATTAATTTGTTCATCATCTTTAAATTCAGGCTCAAACAACGTCTCAAGACACGGGCAAACTATAGGCAAGTTTTTTTTTTTTTTTTTTTTTTTTTTGCCAGATATAACATGAATGGCCTTTATTTAGTCCCAACCAAGTTCCCCTTTCCTGATGAAACCTTATGAACACAGGTCACATTTCTATCAGAATTCTGGTATTCTGAGCCAAACTGAGTCACCTTTTAGGCTATTCATAAAATGTATGAGATCTTCTACAGGCTTTATCTCCAAACCTTTTAAATTCCTCTGCAAACTGACTCCAAAGGAGTATGTATGGTCAGGTTAGTTACAACAGAGACCCAACTTCTTGGTACCAATTTTTGTATTAATCAGATTTGGGTCACTGTAAAAAAAAAAAAAAAAAAAAACACCTGTCAAGAGCAACATAGAGGAGGGAAAGTTTTTGTACTCACAGTTCAGATAATCACTCTAAGGATAAAACAGTCCATTAAACATAGTTACAGGTAAGGAAGAATTTGACTGTAGAAGGGCAAGCTGGATGAGTAAACATCCATTATGGCAGCCAGGCATCAAGGAGAGAAGGAAAAAGAAAAAAGATATATAAGGAAGATGAGCCCTTACAGGGAAGACAACTAATAATCTACTTCTTGCAGGAACATTTCAACTAGATACAGTTACAATCCAATCAAACCATTAAGACTAGGAAGAACTGGGGCTGGGGTTGTGACTCAGAGGCAGAGCACTCACCTAGCATGAATGAGGTACTGGGTTCAATCCTCAGCACCATATAAAAATAAAATAAAGATATTGTGTCCACCTATAGCTAAAAATAAATATTTGGGGGCTGGGGCTATAGCTCAGTGATAGAACACTTGCCTTGCACGTGTGAGGCCCTGGGTTCGATCCCCAGCACCACATAAAAATAAATAAAAGTGAAGATATTGTGTTCATCTACAATTTTAAAAAATTTAAAAAATATTATTTAAAAAAGACTAGAAAGAACTGATGACTTTATGTCACTCAAATATAAAACAAAAAACCTCCAAATATTCCACCATTAAAAAAGAGATATTGGGAGACACATACTACACAAAGTATGACAGTAAGAATGCACATATAAAAGGGGAAAAACAATAATAACTCAACACATGCACAGAAAGACAGGAAAAACCTTGACAAAAGATCTAACTTGAACTTCAAATAAGAGATCAAAGAGGGCAATTGGCTGCAGCTGAACAATTGCTGCTGGGCTCATGTTTCCATCCTATCAGCAAAAGTATTCAAGGCACATGACCACAGCCAAACACCCACATGTGCCTCTGTACTACAACCCATGGAATCTCTCTAAACCTCCTCCTGTACCCATAAATTGAATACAGACCATGCCCTTTACCCCACCCCTCATCATCCCTGCCCATTATCATGCATGCCCCCCTGGATGCCTGGCACTCCAGAATTTGCCCAGTCCCTCTGATCAGGGGTAAGTTCATTCATGCCTTTATCCTCCCAGCCCCCAGGGACAGATGCCCCATAGGCACATACTGCTGCTATGAAACTAGTGGCAGTGACCTGTAGCCAACAAGTCCCTCCTCTGGCCCAGTGACTGAAGTTGCCTGATTGGGAACATACTTGTCCATCCCTTCACATCAACATCTATGATTAGCCTCTGCCCAATCACCATGAAGGGTCAAGAAGAGAAAGTGACCTTTAGCAGGGAAATCCCCAAATGGCAACCCTCCTGGAGGCATCTCAGGGTAGCCAGTGGCCATGGTAAAGGCCTCCACCAATTTTGACCCAGGCTTCACACTTCATTCCTCCTAGCAGCAGTAATATAGCCCCATGACCCTGGCCATCTGCTCACCTGTGCCTGGCCTGTCAGAGGCATCCATCTGCTTTGCTTCTCTCACTGGAAGGGAAAAAGGAGGACAAAGGAGCTGAGCAAAAGCTTGGCTCTGGGACTTGTCATGTGCCCAGAGTAGCCAGTGCCCACTTTCTGAGTATGGAGTTTTGGGGCCTGACTGAGGAGCACCTCCAAAGGCTTAGGCCTTCTGGGATGCCTGGTGGGGCCTTCAGGTCTATGGCCCCCATTGTGACCACTCTCTTTAAGAGGGACATAGGAATACCCAGATCCTTTTCCACCAATGTCCCCTAACCTGGGCTTCATCATAATCCTATTGAGCATGATTTTTATGTCTTCATCTCTTTTCAAGACAATAAAGGTATCATCATCAACCCAAACCTAGATAGTCCTCTCCCCATACATCCTCTCACTGGCACTGGCACCTGGATTGGCTTACCAAGATGGATACGCCAGGTCAGTGTGCCAAGGGGCCTTGAGGATTGGCAAAGTCAGGGCTAGGCTGCTGCCAGGAGGATCAAGGCGTTCTTTCTGTCGGGAGCATGACCTGGGTGGAAAGAGGAAAACAGCTGAGGAGGGGGAAGGATGCCAGCCTTGGGGCGGACTCACACAGTCATTTCCTATATGGACCCCAGTGTTCCATCCCCAAAGGTGACCCCTATCTGCAGCTGTGACCACCAGTCCTGCAGGATGAGATGCCTGTGACCCCATGGATTCAGCATTCCACTGCCCCCTCCTGTATCAAGGAGTCCCAGCAGGGTCTGATAGCTAGACTAGGCTCTGGGCCCAAAGCACACTTACCATCAAGCTGCCCTTACAGGAGTCTTCGTGCATTGGCCAGCATGTGGGAGAATCACACATCCTTCCCTTGAGTGCATGGGTCCAAAAAGACACCTCTTCTGCCACAGTCCCAAGAACACTGAACTGCATAACCTGGAGCCACTTCCTTCCTTGGTACAGCCCTACAGTGTGTTGCTCCCTGGCCCCAGGCACAGACCCTATGTCAATGGAAGCCCACCAGGAAGCTAAACCCTTCCCCTGGGCCCCATTCTTTCAGTCTGGAGTTGAGCTTGGGTCTCCAAAGAACAACAGTCCCTTTTTCTGGGAGACTTTTGACCACACACCTTCCTGGGGTACCCTTAGGATAATGCCCTGGCACCCGGAAATGCCAGTGATAAGGCTCTAAACAAAAGCAGGCTTGAAGGAGAGAGATGGAGAGGATACAGGAGTCCAAGCTAGGTCTCCTGCATGTTCAGCAGTCCCCGAGCCCCCTCATCATCCTTGACTGCTACCATGCTGTGCTCCCTGGATGCCCTGGCACTCTAGAAGTTGGCCAGTCCTTCCCATCAGCGGGAAGCCCGTTCATGCCCTTCATCCTCCCAAACCCCGGGGGCCTGATGCCCCATAGGCACACAGCATTGCCATGAAGCCAATGGAACCCTGTAGCCAACTAGTCCCTCCTCTGGCCCAGGAATAACGGAGACCTGGGTTCCAGGGAGCTCTGCCCTTTACTTCAACTTCTCTGATGAGCATCTATCCTGTCACCATTGCTCCTCAAGAAGGGAAGGTGACCTGGAGCAAGGAGATCCCCAAATGGCTTCCTTCCTGGACAAAGGATCTCAGGGTTGTCTTCACCTTGGCTTGAGGCCTCCACCTTTGCCTCCTGGCTTCACCCTTTGCTCTCCCCTGCAGTAGTGATTCAGCCCCATAACCCCAGTCATCTGCTCAACTTTGCCTGTGGAGGAAGAGGGGCCAGCCTCCTCTGCTGGTCTCCTTGGAAAGCAAAAGGAGGGCAAAGGAGCTGAGTAAGAGGTAGCCCTGGAACTTTCTTGTGGGAAGAGTAGCAAGTACCCTGAGCTTGGAACTTTTGTGCCTGATTGAGGAGCATCTCCACCAGCTTGGACCACCTGGGATTCCTGGTGGGACTTCCAGGTCTATTGCCCCCAGTGTGGCTGCCCCTAGAGGGACATAGTGATGCTTGAGTTCTCTTGTTATTTTCTTTCAGCATATTACTTGAACCTGACTCTCTGTCTCATTCTATGGTTTTAAGCATTTGTCTTATTGAGGATAATTTTTCTTATGGTCTTATTTTCTTACTAAGAGTTTGTATATTTCTCATTGCTACACTACTTTTTTGGCTATAAAATTAAGAATTAGTTATATTTGTTGACGTGTACCATGTTCTACTTTTCACTTTAGTTCATATAAATATAAAATTAGGGGTTTTTTGTGTGTGTAAGATGTAGAACTATCTTGTTTTTGTTTTTCTGTGCTGTGGATCCCCATATGCTAATAATGCATGCTAGGCCATCATCATACCCCTGAGCTACAAATTCAGCCTATAAGAGTACCATTTTTTACAAGTGAATATGATTTCTTTTAGCTGTGTTTGTTCTATGTATTTTCCCAATGGAGGGAGGTGATGAGGTAATCTAAAAAGTGACCTAATTTGGATGCTGGTTTTCACCAGCATACCAGAGCATGTAACTTTTGCACAGTTGGAGCCTTTTCTGGTTTTGTTTGACTCTTATGCCCTCATTGCCATACCATGTGTCAGAGCATAATCTGATACAGGAGATATAAACTTTTGAGAAGGTGCATATTGAAAGGAATCTGTATCATATAAGTATGAATTTTGGGCAGATCTTTACTGGGAAAAGAAATGGGATATGGAATGTTTCACCTTCAGGTGCAAGATACAACTTAGATTGAGAGAGAAGGCATAGGTGTGAACAAAGAATGGCTCAGTCTTTCAGGAAAAAATGTTCGGATATTATGATAATTCCTTTAAGGAGTTTCTTTAATTTGGAAGACTCTTTAGTATCTCTTGGCATTGCCTCATAGCTGGCATTCATGATTGATCTGGTTAAGAATGGGAAGGAGACAGATTTCATACATTGGAAGATTGGGGGTTCAGGAAAAGTTTTAAAAAAATATTTTTTAGTTGTTGATAGACCTTTATTTTATTTATTTATATGTGGTACTGAGAATTGAACTCAGTGCTCCACACATGCCAGGCAAGTGTGCTATCTCTGAGCCACAGCCCCAGCCCACCAGGAAAAGTCTTTGTAATAAGAGATTTTGAATAGAGGCCTGATTGTTTATCTGTCATTGTTCATCTGTCTGGCCTCTGTCTCATACCAAGTCTAGTATACATGGTTCTCTTCCAATGATTCTATGTACACTGAAAGGTATTCTTGTGCATCTCCACATTCTCAAATCTGATATCCCAATTCAATGAATAGTGCTCATACCTAGGTAGTATTTCAAACCACAGAACTCAGAAATCTCTGCTGTGGCCCCTGAACCATCTTCTTTCTTGGGATCATCCTCATCTATTTTCTGTACACATCTCAGACACAGAGCAAAGCCAAAATATGGAAACCATGATGAATGTTTCTTCCTTCACCTGAAATAAGATTCTTCTAGCCTGTGGAGGAACCCATGGTTCAGAATCAGTCTTAACACCATCATGAGGAATTTAGCCAAAATTCATATTTCTTCCTGACCAGCACATTGCCTTGGGTCACTCCAAGTATAAGGGCTATTTTCAGAGGGATGCTTGATCTTGACTCAGAGAATGTGGACACACAAAGTGTTTTCTTGGAGGGTGAGGCCCTTCCTATAGCATCTTTCTCAGCCTCAACCAATTGATTCAACATTACCTCCACCCCTTTATGCTTCATGACGACCATTACCTACCCCACTTCTCAACACAATCTGCCTAATCATGGCTGTGTGTAGGGCAAATTCCTGAATCTTAGTACCTCATCTCTGAGGACTGGATCCACCATGGGCAAAAATTCTTTCAAGACACTGATGATCTCCTAATTTCCCTTTGCCCCACTCAGACCTAGTGGCAGTATTGGGCGGACCGAAACCTACACTTAGGAGGGTAATGCTTGCCATGTGTTTTTGTGAAGAAACCAATTTTCTCTTGACTTGACTTCCTTCACCATTGCAGGTTATTATTTAAAATAATACGTGGGGTGAGGTACAGAAATTATGTCTATTAATCAGAATTTATCCCCACGTTGTGATTCAGGTTGTCTAATGAATCCATCCTTATGGCCCTAAAGGTGGCCTTCATGACTTTCAACTCCATAGCTTAATGGCTCATGACTCCTGAAATCCACTCACTTATGACCACTGAGGCAGTGGTGCCAATCTTGGTAGCCCATCTCACTAAAAGTCAGCATAATTAGTGAAAATGAGCTGAGTGAGGGGCAGCAAATATTTTTGGAGTTCTAGTTTCTTGGGTATACACCGATTCTTCTGAATGAGTTTTATTGGTTCATTTAGATCACCTGGAAAGAGGTCCTCTGAATATCTGGAGATTCCTTTAAAATTCACTTGCCCTGAGTGTGAAAATATTCATTCCAATATCCTCTTTCAGAATTTTCACTTAGTCTGCTCTTTTGTGTAATCCTATTTAGCATTATTTTAAAGTCATTACCTCTTTTTAAAACAATATAAATTAACATCATCTACTCAGCCCAAGGCTCCTCCTTTATCCACATGCATTCTCTTTGACCTGGACATGCTTATCCTTGGTTATTCAAAAGTCATGTTTCTTCTTTTATTTGGTACTGGAGTTTGAGTTTGAACCCAGGGTACTTTGCCACTGAGCTATATCCCCAGCACACCACCCCCCCTTGATTTTTTTAAGAGAGAGAGAGAGAGAAAGAGAGAGAGAGAGAGAGAGAGAGAGAGAGAGAGAGAATTTTTTACTATTAGGTTTTTAGTTTTTTTCAGTGGACACAACATCTTTATTTTATTTTTATGTGGTGCTGAGAATTGAACCCAGCACCCCACGCATGCCAGGTGAGCACAGTACCGCTTGAGCCACATCCCCAGCCCCCTAGCCCCTTTTTTAAAAAATTAATTTTGAGTCAAGGCCTCACTAAGTTGCAGAGACTGGCATTAAACTTGTGATCCTCCTGCTTCAAGTCACTGGGATTATAGGCATGGGCCTCCACACTGGCTACTATGTTTCCATTTATGTAATGAATTTCAGTGTATTCTTGTTTAAACATTCATCTCATATTGATCCCTCATTTCATCAGGTCAAAGCTGTTTTCTCCACTTTGAGCTTCTGTGCTAGTGTCAAATGTATGTCTACCTCTCATGAGGTATGAGTAGTTTAATGTTTTCCTTGATGGGTGGTATTTACTTTAAAAATGTCCTGTTATGGAGGTTGTAGCCTAATATCAACCAATGCATAAGTGACACATAATACAGAGATCTTATCTTTGTGGAATTGCTCTTATGTTAGTCAAATTATAGAGCATTTCATTTATCCTATCTTCTTTATATATATGTTTGGGACACAGCACTAATATTTTGCATGTTCAACTTCATTTGAAGTCTAAAAGGATACAATTGAAGGTACAACTATGTCATGGTCTATAACTAGGTATCAACAACTCTGAATAACATTGGTTTTCAAGCAGCATTTATCATTCATTGCATCAACTTTCATTATTCTAAAATTAAAACATTCACATTCTATTAAGCAACTGAAATTCATGTATGAATTGCCTCATCAATAAAATTAATTTGAGGCATAATGGAAATATCAAGTTACTATTGTAACTTGTAATATAAAGTCTCACATTTTCATTTTTGTTGTTAGAATCCTTAAATTTTCGATATTTATGCAGTATATCAAAGGCAGAATGAAACTCTTAGGATTATAGTTTATATTATACAAATTTTGGTGTAGTTTCTTATAAAAAATAAATGAATATTGAACATTGGTCTATCAATAAAAAAATTCCATAACTTTCAGGCACATCAAAGTTAGGTAATGATTAAAGATTTTGTCTTTGGTTAAGTAGAGCAGCCACTCAATAAATATACATATCAAGGGGCTGGGGTTGTGGCACAGCAATAGAATGTTTGCTTAGTGAATGCGAAGCCCTGGGTTTGATCCTTACCACCACATAAAAATAAATAAATAAAACAAAGGTGTTGTGTCCAACTACAACTAAAAAATAAATATTTTTTTTAAAAAAGAATACATATCAATATTCAGATTGACCAAATGAGTAGACCTTACTTACTTGGAGAGACTCTTCACTAGTTGGATGGTCTATTTGGAATATATTTATGACCAAAGGATGGCACTCACATCATATTAGTGGAAAGTGTAACTCTTTCTGTAAATTTACTGTAAGATGCAATGAGAGGAAGAGAGCTATGAATAGAATTATAGGTCACTGGAACAAAGCTTAATAGATTAGCATTTGTTCTTCACTTATAAGCATATATTTTGGTTTAGTCACACAAGTTTATCTCAGGTATTTTGTTTTCTCATGCCCAAAATAAAATCTAGAATAAAAAAAAAAGGGTGCCCAAATTCATATCTAACAACTTTCACTGAGGATAGTTGCCAACATGTTTCTATGGGCCATGATTTTTATGTGATCTTCTGCCTTTGAGATTGCATAAATTCTCAACATTGATTGAAGTAATGGCACTCCCTCCTCATGTATACATCTACACATTACCTAAATATGCAGCAGAGATAGTTCGTGCCTTCTTGGTGTTAAGGTGGGCTAGAGTTCATGCACATTCAGTTCAGAACATTTGGCTGACTTTTATTGCAGAAGGCAAAAGTACTTTTCCCTCAGAGTCATTATCTAAGAGGACAGGAATAGGATATTTTTTAAGAGGGTGAATTATATTTGGGACAGGGGCTGGTGATTGAATCCAGCAGGCACTGACCCACATCCTTAGCGTTCTTTTTTTATGTTTCATTTTTGGTTTAAGACAAGGTCTCACTATGTTGCTTAGGGCCTCACTAAATTGCTGAGGCTGACCTCAAACTTGTGATCTTCCTGCCTCAGCTTTATGAATCACTGGTATTATAGGTATGCGCCACCATGCCTGACTAAGAGTGAATTGAATGTTATTGAGTATATGATGTATGTGTACTTTTTATTAATTAAGTGCTCAAAAACTGAGCCATTACCTATGCTATGGATCATTGATTCAACAAACACAATAAGTGCAATACATATAGATGTGTTAACTTTAGATAATCAGTCAGTAGGTGTCACACTGAGATGTGATCATCTCACCGATCATCACTTGTCTATATTTTAAAAGAATCCATGTAAATAATAATTAGCAAGACACAGTACATTTGAACTCTCTTAAAATTATATTCCTGAAACTGTAAAAGTAAGGATCTTGAAATGAGATATTAGGCCACTGGGGATTGGATTTGTTTACGCATGTTGAACAATCCATATATAGAAAATTATAAACTGTAGCTAAAATGTTATTGTCTTTTATTGATGAATTTTCACCAATAACCTTCAAATACACAAAACCAGAGCAACACAAAAACACTACAAATGGGTATAACTATGTTTACCAGTGTTTAGATACAAATAATGCCACACCACACTGTGTCACAGGTATGAGTCTGTGACTCAATATTGTTTCACAATGTTTCAATATTATTTCAATGAAATTTTAGGAAAATTGAAGTTTTTCTCATATGAGGGTTGTAAAGTAAGTCAATGACTCCTAAAGTAGTAATTAGCCTGATTTTTTTTATCCTGGTTTACTCAAAGGCCACATCAGAAAAAAAATGGATACCATCCGTACCACACACTTTCATTATCTTAAAATTAATGGAGTTATGTGGTATTCAAATCTGAAATTCAGGTAAATTTTGCTCTTTAGTCTATTCAATTATGTCACAGGCAAACAAACCCCTGAATCTAAGATTTTCACCTTCATTAATAAGTCTTCCAGTTATTTTCATACTCATTAATAGGGTCTTTCAAAAGCCACATAACACCTTTATAAATTTGTAAAACTGTAATTGAAAAATTCTTCTAGTAGTAATGAAGATCAAAATGAGTATTAAATATGGTACTAGGTACCAGGAAACCAAAGTTTTCCTGAATTAGTGGGTATGCGTGCATGTGTGTGTGTGTGTGTGCGTGCACGTGCATGTCAGATATGAATCACAGTATCATACATGAAGTGTGGCATTCTTTAGATCTAAACAGTGGTAGACATAGTCATCCCCATTTAGAGCATTTCTGTGTTGCTCTGTTTTTGTGATGTTACTTATTGAATTTAATCCAGGGTTTTGAGTATGGTAGGCAAGTACTCTGCCACTGAGGTACCTCCTTGACTCCCTATTTTTTTTTTTTTTTTTGAGAGAAGGTCTCATTAAGTGACTGAGGCTGAGGTTGAGGCTGAATTAGAACCTGCAATCATCCTATCTCAGCATCCTGAATAATTAGGATTATGGGCATGTACCCCCAAGCTCAGTTTTCCTCGGTTTTTAATCCTATCAAATTGAGGTACAAAGTGAAGATTCTGTCATAGGATCACACCAAGTAAGTCACTAATTAATTTCTAAAGACAACCTCATATTGATAGTAAAGTTCCTTGAATGAGTAAATATAATTGCCTTAAGGATGAATTTGCACTGATCTGAAGGTCTTTTGAAATATATTTGACTATATAGATAGCCACTAGCCTCTTTTCAGTGCAAGAGTTTTCCTCTTGGCTGCATGTATTATTGAAAGACACAATGTAATAAAAGATCCCACAAAATGAACCCTTAATATACTAAAATATATAAGAATTATTAATCACTGAAATAAATCTTAAGGAATGAGAATTTGTCATTCAGTTAGAAGTACATAGTGTTGGGCAACAAAGTTCCACACTAGAGTTTCACTTTCTTAAGCCTGATATCAAACTACCCCACACTAAATTCTGACTTCTGACCTTACAATTCTTATCAAGCCTGGGTCTCAGAATAGTTCAATTTAGCACATTTTTTAATGTAATTATCTCTCTTCAAGACAATATAACATGCATATCACCAAACTAAACTCTTGCACTGTCCACACATTCATTTTGACTTGAATACATTTACCAGGCAGGTTTTATGAAGCTGTGTGATAAAATGAATTGGGGTTCTGGTGTGTTCTATGCTAATGTCATATAATTTGCCACCAAGCCAAAGGTCTCTTTTTCTTCTCAGTTTTTAATGTAAGTGGAGAGGAGTAAGACAGGTTTATAAACTAAATATTACTTTCCTTATATGGCTTATACAAGTTATGGCTCACATATGCTTTTCCTTAATGAACAGATATGATCATTCTTGCATATGTGACCCATTATGGAGGCTGTGGAACACTGATTCACTAAACACAAGGACAGACCATATAGGTTTCTTGATTTTTGGAGACACTTTCATGTGGTATCATGTAGACACAGAGCATCTTGTTGCTCATTCTTGGACTGTCTCTTCAAGAAGACATATCAGGGGCTGGGGTTGTGGCTCAGCAGTACAGTGCTTACCTAGCGCGTGCAAGGTGCTGGGTTCAATCCTCAGCACCACATAAAAGTAAACAAAATAAATAAAGGTACTGTGCCCAACTATAACTAAAAAATATTTTTAAAAAAGAAGATATATCAGGAATATTTTCATGGTCCATTTCATATG